AAAGGTGAGATGAGATCGGGATGGAGCAGGACCCCATCCCAAAATCTCCAGGGAAAGGTGAGCTGAGCCAGGACTCCATCCCAACATCGCCTCCAGGGAAAGGTGAGCTGAGCTCGGGATGGAGCAGGACCTGATCCCGGCATCTCCAGGGAAAGGTGAGGTGAGATCGGCTTCCCAAAACTCTGGGAAGGAGCAGGACCCGATCCCAACCTCTCCTCCCGGGAAAGGAGAGATGAAATCCCAACATCTCCCGGGAAAGGTGAGCTGAGCTCAGGATGGAGCAGGATCTGATCCCAAAATCTCCTCCCGGGAAAGGAGAGATGAAATCCCAACATCTCCCGGGAAAGGTGAGCTGAGCTGGGCTCCCGCAGCCCCAGGATGGAGCCGGACCCGCTCCCGGCTCTCCTCCTCCCGCAGCAGGGCAGGACCTTGGAATTCCGGCTCCAAAGCATCTGGCTCCCTCTTGTGTTGCCGAGGAGGAGGAGGAGGAGGAGGAGGAGGAGGATGGGACAAGCCCCGGCCGGCGGCAGCTGCGGGTGTCCCCGTGTCCAGCCCGAGGAGGGATCCAGCAGCAGCTGAGAGCCCAGGGTGACCCCAAAAGGAGCAGCTCCGCACCCCGGGCTCGTAGGGATACCCCAGAGGGAACAGGGAATGGGACGGGCAGCTCCAGCACCATCAGGGATGAGCTGAGAAAATCCCAGCGTGGAGAAATCCCACCCTTCCTGCACCATCCCATGGGGATGCCGTTTGTACATCCCACCCCTGGCATTCCTTCTCCGGGGATTTCAGGAGTATGAAACTAGTCCAGCTGTACAAACACAACAGAACTTTTTTTTTCCTGGATTTTATCCTGGTTTTTTGTCCCCTTTGGCATTCTGGGTGGCAGGTGTTTGTCGGATTGAGCCCTTTTCTGACCCAGAGATGGGGCAACTGAGAAGTATTTTATAAACTTTCATCCCATTTTCAGTCTCATGAGAAGGGTGGGGCAATAGAGATGTTAGAATTCACACCATCACAGTCAGAAGCCAAATATTTCCTAATTACAATGTGCTTCTTGGCCTATCAGCTTCTGCTACACCATGAAAGAATTCTCTACAAACTCATTTTTTCCCACAGCTGCTGATCCCACTGCTCCCGGGACAAAGGCAGGAGCAGAAAGGACAGGGAAAATCCACCTGGAAACTGCTTTTAATGCAACACCCCAGCACTGGTGCTGCTGCCTGCAGAGGTGGTGTTTTTCCTTAACTGAGTTCCTCGCAGGAGATTTCTTCAAAGGTCATTAATGGGTGTCAGGAGACAAAGGAAAGCTGTGTTAGGAAAGCAGAAAAAGGGAATTTATTTTCCAGCAGATGTTCTACAACTCCTACAACTAAGGAAAAATTAAGTACAAGCAGACCAGGTGCTGTCAGTCCTGAATTGTGCAGTCTGACTCGATTTTTCTGGTTTGCTTCAAGTCATAATTAAAATTAATGCTTATTTTGCATCCCCTTGGCCAGGGTGCCTGCTTATCTTCAGGCAGCTGCTGCAGAAATCAGGGAAGACTCCCATCCTCTAATTCAGGTGAAGGTGCTAAAGTACACCCATGGGATTTCCCTGTGCTCCTCATTTAAAAGAGAAGGGTGGAAAAGGCCTTTTCACTGCTAACTGCAGCAGGTGAAGGGAAGGAGCCCCAGGGAACCCTTTGGAATTACACTGGATGGAAGTCATGGATCCTGGAACCCTGACCACCCTGGATGTGAGGGAGAAGCCACCTTGGAAGGGTTGAGCAACGCAGAAAGCCTTTCCCAGCCTTTCCTTTCCCAGCATTTCCAAGCCTTTCCCAGCATTTCCCAGCCTTTCCCAGCTTCTCCCAGCCTTTCCAGCCCCCCTGGGCAGGGTCACAGCCGCTTTTCTCTCACACAAGATGTGCACCAGAGCAGGAATGAGGGTTTGTTCCCGGAGCCAAGGGAGATCCCTGCTAATTCCATCTCCTCTCCCCAGCTGGAAGCCACCCCTGGACGGCTGCAGGGACTCACCAACCACCCTCAACTGGTAAATATTCCCATTTTCATCTGGAATAGATGCTTCCCAGCGTGGCCTGACGAAGGTGTGGGTGTGAAAGCTGCCTCAGATAACGAGACAATTGTTATTAACTCTGTTTATTTTTCTTACCCGTCGTCCCGGGGGTTATTTTTAAACAAAACACACGGTTCTCAAGAGCAGGATATCCCTTCAGAGCATCCTTCCAGAGCTGCTCTTTTCATTTTTTCAGGAGATGTGCCAGCTCCTCTGCAGTTCGTGCGCTTGGAGCAAACGCACGAAGCGTGAGCGCAGCTCGGAGGTGCCAGGGGCAGCTCTGGGGACAAGGAACCTGCAGGGAGGGCTTTTTATTCCTCATGGAAACCCCTCCTTCCTGCAGGAACCTCGCTGCTGCACAATGAGGTGCGATGGGGAGCAGGGGAGGCTTTGTCCTCCCTCCCTGCAGGAGCAGCCCTTTGTGCCAGGGATGCTGCAGCTTCCAGTCAATCCCTGCTGCTGCATCACCTCCCCAGCCCCTCGGGACAGCCAGGACGTGGCTCTGGCCTCCAAACCGGCCAAGATATTCCTGCTGAGGGATGTCCCTCAAATCCTCGCGGTTTTAAGGCATTTAAAGGTGTTTTTAGGGTGTTTTTAATGTGTTTTCCTCACTGACTGTAGCCAGGTGCTGCCAGGAGCCGAGCTCACATTCTGCTGCTATCGCTGCCCTTTTAATTTATTTTTTTAAATTTATTTTTCCAGCAGGAGTTGTGCCTCAAATCAAAATGAGGCTTTGTATTTTTACAACTCTTATTTCTCCCCTTCGGGGGAAGGGCAGTGAGTGAGGGCACAAATGTTTTGTTGAGGTCTCCTGAGCAAGTTTTTTATTCAAATTAATGTGCAAACCTGAGAGTCCCGAGTCAACCAACAGATCCAGGAATAACAGCTGTTCCCCCAGATATTATCCAACACACACAAATATTTCTCAAGTGGAATTTCACAGAGACAGCAGAGCTTTGCTTGCCATAAAAATAACTGTGAGAAAGAGAGCTGGCAAATCCCTGAGCAGCCCTAACACGGGTTTGTTTGGTTGGATTTGCTGGAATATTCATGGCAGTGACCAAATTGGAGGGGTTTTAGCTAAAAATCCATTGTTTTCTGTGGAATCTGCACGGTGAGGGGAGGAATGTGGGTTTCACTGGTTGTGTTTCAGAAACCACCAGCCCTGGATCCATCCCAGGGCCAAAGGTGGGGCATTCCCAGCCAAATCCAAGCTGGAAAAGCAGCCCTGGAGCACAACAACAAATTCTCTGCTCCTCTTTCCCCAGATGCCTCTTTCCAAAGCACTCCACAAACAAAACAGCCGAGGCAAAAAAAAAGCTCTTTTTGTCTCCAGAATCGACATCCTGGGAATGAGAGCAGCAGATGGAGAGCCCCGGGAACAATGGGATAATGCTGAAGGGGTGCCAAGGACCTGGGGGCAAAGGGAATGGGAAGAGGAGCTGCTCCAGCCGAGCCAGCATTCAAAAAGAACATTTCATTCTGCCGTGATTTCAAGGTTTTGAGGTGGTGACTGCAGATCCCTGGGTAAGAAGGAGCTGTTTGGCAGAAAAGCAGAGCTGAAGGACACCTGAAGTGCTGCTGCCAGCTGTGCTGAGGCCAAAAGTGACTCAAAAACCACCCTCAGGCAGCAGCAACCAGCCAGGGCTCACACAGACACCAGCGCCACTGGTTTGCCTGTTGAGCAAAGAAATGGGAAATAACAAAGCTCTGAATCAGGAAAAAAAATATATATATAGGCTCTTCAATAAAAAGATGAGAAGCTCAACGTGGACACTGGAAAACAGCACTAATTTCATTAAAGGATTATCCTTCATAGAGGATTTTCTCTTTGACAAGGTTGAAAAACTTCCCATCTCTGCTTGAGCTCTGTGGGGATGACCCCAAACAGATCCAGGGGGAGTTTTCCAGAGTTTCCCATCCCTGAGCCCCCTGGAGAAGCTGCAGAGCATAGGGGAACTTGGAAAGGATGAAATTAAATATTTAATTATTATTTTAAAAAATTATTATTATTTTTAAATATCTTTAAATATTGGTCCCCTCTCCCAGTTCAGCAAAGCACTTAAGCTCATCAACCTGCTGCTTTGACAGTCATTTTTAAATAAACTTTTAATACATTTTTGATACACAAAGGTGCTTTAACACCTCTCACTGGCTCCACTGCAATGGAGAGTCAGTCATGACAAGAAAATGCCTCGAGCATTTCTTAAGCTTCAGGTTTGGGCTTCCAACCAAAAATCTGGGATTTGGTTAAAATAACACAGACACGATGTTTTGGACAACACTTTTCTTTAATGGCATAAACCCCTAAAATTTCCTTGCACATCAGACAGAAAAGCTGCTCTGGATGTTTTGAGGAATTATTCTAAACACACAGATATCACAAAATAAAAGCTATTTTCTAAATTGGTTTTAAAAAACCCCATTTGTGCCCTTGTAATGGATATAGAAACAGATTTGCATAAACAGAATCTGACTCCAAAGTCTGAACGCCCCCAAATTTTCCCATCAAATCTCTGGACACACTTTCATGTCTAAATAATGAGCTGTCAAGAGGTGCTGCAGAAGCCTTTACAGCTGGAAAAAGCCCCATTATTGCTCCTATGAAAACAAACTTGCCTGTCTCCTGCAGGGAAGAATCACCAAGGCTTTCTCAAACCTGTCCATTCCAGGTGCACTTTGCTCTGCCAGGTGTCCCAGCTCTCTTCTCAAGGCCCAGAAAGGGTCCCCACTCCTCCTGCTGTGGTCACCTCCTCACAGAACCTCTCACAGAACTTCCCTGCAGTGTTTCCTACATGGTTGGCTTAAAAAAAAATATATATCTCTTTTCTCATCATGTAGTCCTTGACAGCAAGCTGGGAGGAGAATGCACTGAGGTACCAAAAGGAAATGTGGCTGTTTCTGGGCAGAAGAGGTCCCCAAGTTCACGAAAGATGCAAAAATCATTGTTTTTTTTTTTTTTGTTCTGACCTTAATTTGGTATTTGGGGGGACCAGGCTTGGTCACTCCCCTGTGCAGAGCTGCCAGCCTGTGAGGGGGCCAAAGTGACATCCCAGTGCCACAGAGGGAGACCTGCAGTGCCACAGGGCAGAGTCTGGGTGAGAAATCCAAAGGGCAGGAACCCTCACTCCTACCTGGAGCGCCTCTTCACCTCCTCTGTGAACCCAAAAACATCTGCAGAAGTGCCCACAACGTCGAGGTGGGTGTCATAAGGGATGAGCAGCACTCTGGGGTAGCGGGCTTTCAGCCTCTCACACAGCTGCCTGTATCTCTGCTTCTCAGCTCTGCTCTGCTCCTTGAAGCCGATCCTTTCCTTCCGTAAAATCTTCTGCAGCTCCACCGAGTAATTTTCAATCGTTTTCTTGGCCCTCAGCACAGCACCAGCCTTGCTGCCAGCGCTCTCAATGCACACCGTGGTGATGTCACCGTCAGTGACACCAGAAATGACAACACCATTTCCCTGCAAAGCCTTGGGATGAAAGCACTTCATGTAGTGATAGATATCCGTGTCCAGAACCAGCACTTGCTTTTCCCTCTGAGCATCCCGGGTGGAATTCCTCGCCTCCGCAGCACCTCTGTGCTCCTGCAGCTTCCTCCTCGGTCTCTGGGGGGATTTTCCCTCTCTTTTGTCCTCCTCTGAGAGGGATTTTGCCTTCAGCAGGAGGAATTCCCTCAGCACTTGGAGTGCTGGGAAGGATCCTTGCACGGCGATCTGCCCGTCACGCTGCAAAGGCCCAAAACTCAAAGCTGGGCTCTGCTTCCTCATCTCTTCCACCAAATCTTCTAAAACCAAGTGATCCCTGAAAACAGCCATGTTCAGGGTGGACGTGACCCAGAGGAAGGCCTGGAATTGTCAATGGGAGAAGTTAAGGAGTGGCTAATGAGGCATTGAGCATTATTAGGTTAATTAGGTGTGGGAAATGGAAAGATAGAAACTTCCACAGACACAGGAGGTTTGATCTGCAGCCTTGGGAGAAGCTTGGATTGATGTAAAAATACAACACACAGACATTAAGCAGAAACATAATAAACTTAAGTTTCTACAGTTTTAAGTAAGAAGTAAGAAACACCTTAAGTAACTTAAATAAGTCAGAAATTATTGATAAGATGTTGAAGAGTTTATAGTGTAGGGGTGTAATTGCACAGAGCAGGCTAAGAGCTGAGAAGTTGTAACAGAAGCATCAGTGTGATACCAACCCACTGGATAAAAGTATATTCATTGCAGCAGAAGTGAGTAAAGGTGATAGGTTAGAAAAGCAAAATAAACTTTGTGGCAACTGTCCACTGGGTTATAAAGTTATATATTGCCTAGTGACAAAGAACTTGTAACCATCTTTATGGCCGACTGTGAGCTCTCTTAAATCTCACGGCCTCTGAGACTGATGTTTATCTGAGCAATAAATTGTTTTTAGCCCGACTGGGGAACCATCCCTTCAACTAAAGCAGTGATAATGACATCAGGGAGGAGCTCACGTTGTGGCAGTAGCGGGTCACTGTCAGGGGGTAGGGCCTGGGCAGCCTCTTGTCCTGCAGGAGATGCTGATCCTTCTTCAGAACACGCTCCACAACTGGAAACAAAGCCAGATTCACTTGAGAAGGCTGCCCTAGAACAGAGGCTAAACAGAGCTAAAGAATAAAGGTTTAGTAGTACAGTATAGTATTGTTAAAGTATAGTATAGCTTAGTGTACTATAGTTAGTATAGTTATAGTACAGGTAAAAAAGTGATAATGTTTTTAGTTATAGGATGTTTTAAAGAGTTATTGATTAATAAATATTGTTAATAAAGATATTTATGGTATTTATTTAATTTTTAAATGTTTTGTTTTATGGATTTATGTTACAGTGTAAGTTTTTTCTTGTTAATTATGTTATAGTATTTATAAATGTATAGTATAAATCGGTAATATTTATAGTACTTATAGTAATATTGTATTTATATAATATTTATAAGATAGCTTAAATATATTTATAATACATTATTTATAATATTTATAGTATAAACAGTACAAATTTATGATATTTATAAAATTAGAGTATTGTAATTAAAAATATTTATTTATTATTTAATTATTTTTATTTTTAAAAAATTAAATTTTTAATTTTTAAAAATTAATGTGTTTTATTTTTAGATTTTTAAAATTAATGTGGTTTTTATTTTTTCACTTTTAAAATTAATGTGTTTTTAAAATTAATGTGTTTTTAAAGATTAATGTGTTTTATTTTACTTTTATTTTAAATTTTTTAAATTAATTTTTTTAAATTAATGTAAAAATTAATTAATGAATGAATGCATTTTCATTTCAAATTACAAATTTATATTTTTGCTTTTAGCACTTAAGTTCAGAAGCCTTTTTACAAAGTTCCCAATCAAATTTTGTGTTTACCTTTCAACTTTACCTCACAACCTTCAAGCCCCAAGACTTTTTTTTTGCATTTCAAATTCTAACAGCCCCCCACAAAGTTCCACAAAACCCCAATTTCAAATCCTTCCGGGGCTAATCCTTCAGGGGGCACGGCCGAACTTTTGATCCATTAATTTAAATAAAAAATTTTTCAAGAAAGTGAAACCAACCTCCTGGGTCATCGAAGGTGACGTAGGCGACTCCTCTGCGGCGCGTGGGGTACGCCAGCTGCTCCACGTCCCCGCCGTTGTTCCGGGACATCTGGAAGTGGATGGTGAGGATGTCAGCCAGGAGCTCGTCCTGCAGGAGGCCAGCTGGGACCCCGGCCACCACGACTGTCCTCGTGCCTCCGGCAGCCTGGGCAGAGACGGGAAATTCAGACGTGTGCTCTTCCGATCTCACGACTGTCCTCGTGCCTCCGGCAGCCTGGGCAGAGACGGGAAATTCAGGAGGGACCCCCACATTCCCGGCCCTGCAGAGCCTCCCGCTCCCTTGGCAAGTCTTCCCCTTTTTTTGGGGTTTTTTTTTGGACTGGTACACACTGTTCACACCCGTATTTCAAGTTTGGAAATGAGGATTTTCAAGCAGCAGTACAAAAAAGGACCCATGAAGGATGCAGAATTTCTGAAAAAATTATGAAAAACATCCCTGCTACCATACATTTCTAAATACTAAACTATATATATATATATATATATAAAATAGAAATAAAAATTGTTGTTTCCATGTAGCGAGAGAAGTTCATTTTCAAACCAGATAAAAGGCTTTAGGTGTGAATGGTATGAATGACAAGTCTCCTTTTGTTTTGCTTTGTTTTTTCAATTTCTTCCTTGTTTTAGGATCCTTTGCAATGTGCATTTAGGGGTTAATTAATCCTGCCCCATCAGATCTAAGCGCATGAATGACAAGTCTCATTTTGTTTTGTTTTGTTTTTTCAATTTCTTCGTTGTTTTTAGGATCCTTTGCAATGCGCATTTAGGGGTTAATTAATCCTGCCCCATCAGATCTCAGCGCCTGCCAGGCTGCCTCAGGCACCTGCATTAAAAAATGGTTTCAAATGCCATTTAAACCTTCTCAAAGCGGGAAAAATGAGCACTAAATTTAAGTTTCTCAGCTGGAAGGTCCCACCGGTAACGCGGCTTCCTCTGATTCTGATATTTAACATCAGAAGAGAAAGAAAAATTGCAACTGCAGTGATGCTCAGCAGGGATTCCCTGCAGAGAGGAAAGGGAAGATTCCCTGTTAAACCCAGGAGCGCCGGGATCTCAGCCATTTAAACCCTCTCAGCATCTGCTTCAAGCAGGAAAAACGAGCACTAAATTCCAGCTTCTCACCGGCAAGGTCCCTCTGATTCTGATATTGGTATCACTGCAAACTGCGGAGCACTGTCTGCATTTAACACTTCTCCGACTTTTCGGAAGAAAGGAGATAAATTTGGTTTGTGGGAGCGAGCTGCCAGTGACTGCTCTTGAGGTCAGTCACCCCAGCTGAACTCTTTAAACCTTCTCTTAAGTTTTAAACACCTCTTAGGTTGTTTTTCTGGGCCCGGGCTGCCTCAAACACGATCCCAGCTCCACAAGGGTTGCTGAGGGAGTGATGCCTGCCCAAAATCCTGGGGACCGCCTGCAGACAAACCCAGCGAGAGAGGCTCCATCAAATTCCGAGAGCCTGGAGCTTTTAATTAATGACAGCAGCTAATTATCCCGGCGGCGAGGCCCGTGTGAGAGCCAGTCCCCGAGGCGGCGCGGAGGGAATACAAACAGGGCGCTTCCAAGATGCAGGCGGGATTTTCTCACGCCTGGCACAGCCGGAGCTCGGCTCAGCTGCCAGACAGCCCTCACACCTTCCCAGCTGGTGTTTGGGAGCAACACTCGGGCCTGCTAGTGGGGTTAGGGAAAAAAAAACCCAAGCCGGGAACACACGGTTTGTGCTGAATCACTCCCCAGACGCGTTCTGTGCCGAGCAGCTGCTCCCAGGCGGGGAGGGAACGGGCCGGGAATGGGGAGGGAGGGAGGGATGGGGCAGCAGCTCTGCTGACAGCGGGTCCTGCTGGGATTTCCTGGCAAACCCCGGAGTGGTTTGGGTGGGGAGGGACCTGAAAGTTCATCCCAATGCAGCCCTGCCGTGGGCAAAGACGCCTTGCACTGTCCCAGGCTGCTCCAAGCCCCAGTGCCCAGCCTGGCCTTGGGCACTGCCAGGGATCCAGGGCAGCCCCAGCTGCTCTGGGAATTCCAGCCCAGCCAGGAATTCCCAATCTCCCATCCATCCCTGCCCTCTGGCAGTGGGAGCCATTCCCTGGCTCCTGTCCCTCCATCCCTTGTTTCTCCTCAGCCTTTTCCAGCGCTTTTCCCCCCGCTCCCCCCGGCCCTGCCCCTCACGGTGCGCGGCCCCCGCTCCCCCCGGCCCCGGCACTTACCATGGCCGCTGCTCCAACGGGACGGGATCCCACCGGGACGGGCTCGCCGGGACGAGGATCCCACCGGGACAAGGATACCGGGAAGGGATCTCACCGGGAAAGGCCCGGACTGAGCGGGCCCGGCGGGGAAACGAAAGCGAAAGCGGCGGGGCCGCCCCTGCGGCCGCCCCCAGCCCGGCGGGGAGAGAGCGCGGCACGGCCCGCCCTTCCCGGCTGGAACTGCGGGGCGGGAACGGGCACCGGGATGTGCAGGGACACGTGGGAACAGGGACACGCACAGGGACATCTACACGGACAGGGACACACAGGGAGAAGGGCTTGCATGGAGAGGGACAGACACGGACAGGGACACACGTGGAGAGGGACGTGTGTGGACTGGGACGTGCGTGGAGAGGGACATGAAGGGACATGGACAAACACATGGACAAGGACACGCATGGAGAGGGACACAAGGGAGAAGGACGGGAGTGGAGAGGGACAGGGACACACAAAATCCCACGCAGGGACACACATGGAGAAGGACGGGAGCGGAGAGGGACAGGGACACACAAAATCCCACGCAGGGACACACATGGAGAAGGACGGGAGCGGAGAGGGACAGGGACACACAAAATCCCACGCAGGGACACACATGGAGAAGGACGGGAGCGGAGAGGGACAGGGACACACAAAATCCCACGCAGGGACACACATGGAGAAGGACGGGAGCGGAGAGGGACAGGGACACACAAAATCCCACACAGGGACACACGTGGAGAAGGACGAGTGGAGAGGGACAGGCAGGGACTGGGACACACATGGAGAAGGACACACGTGGAGTGGGACGTGCATGGAGAGAGATGCACATGGAGAGGGACATGCACGGACAGGGAACATTTCCAGGGGCACCCACGGCTGCTCTGGGCACCCTGTGCCAGGGCCTGCCCACCCTGCCAGGCAGGAATTCCTTCCCACTGTCCCACATGGCCAGGGACACCCCCCGGCACCCCAAAGGCTGTGCTTGTGGCCCCAAACAGCCCCGTGTTTGGCTGGACAGCAATGTCGGGGTGAAAGCTGCAGCTGGGAAATGTCCCTGTGTGTAATTTGGGAATAAAAACCTCCCAGCCCCAGAGAAAGTCACCCCAGCAGGGAGGAAAAAAGGATATTGACACTTATAGATACATCACTGACACTTTATTCTTATTTTTCATCATTAAAACCAGTCTCCAGCCTTTCAAGCACCACTGCTGCTTTAAAGTTTAACAGGGTAATCATCACAAGCCATAATTCATCAGGGACAAAGGCAAGACATTTACAGACATTGTCTTTAAAATGTAAAAATGTAATTTGTTTTCTGGGCTTTAAAACCTGCAGCTTCTCACTACTCCTCCTGAGTCACACCTTATGAGAATTTTAAGCTTTTTCCTTTTTAATGATTTACTTCTCAATATTTATCAGTGAGATACAGTTGAAATTCAGGGCAGTTTTTACCTTTCTCAGGATTTTCCCCCTCTCTTTTTAGGGTGTCTGGTGTTACCAAGTTTTTGAGAGTGCAGAAGTGCACAATTTCTGTAAATTCTTCAGCACTACTTTGAAATTATTATTTTACAGTGGTCTGGTAATCAATCCCTGCCTTTGCATGCCCTAAACAGTGAGAGGTGCTACAGTCACATGCATCTCACTCGACAGCAAATTCAAAATAAACTCTAGTGTTTTCAGCCTTTTTATTTTCCATATTCAACTTTTATCCATGGCCAATTAACAGTCTGTCTGGAATAATGATCCCTGAGGTATTCCCTCTCCTTTCCCTGCACATCAAGATGTCAAATACCCCAAAAATTAATTATTTCTAATGCCAGGCTCATGTTGGTTTGGAGTTAAGACTGTTAGGGCCAAACCATTTCAGACACCAAGGGTGGGAAAAGTGCAAAGTCAGAGGAGGATTTGTTTTACAAGGATGACAAGCAGAAAAGGAAAAACATTCCTCCTTGGAAAACCACTCTTCAAGCCCTCCCAGCCCCAGCCTGGGATCACCAGATCTCTCAGGGCTGTTCAGCAGCACTGCTACCAAACCAGGGACAGCATCAGCTCAATCCTTGGCTGAAATAATTTAAAATAACCAAAATCATGAACAAAAACTAGGAAAATTGAATTGCAGAAACAAATACTACAATCAAAAATAAAGCAGGCTACAAACTGCTCAACAGCTAAAGGCAGCAAATGCCAGGGCATTTCTTAAGTGCCATTTCTTGGTTTGGCAGCCCCCATTTTCTGTTTTAATTCTATCACTAATTTGATAAGGGGCTTTTGTGAGATTACAAGATTCTTTCAGGTGTTTGAGTTCTGGTGGCACTGAGCAACCTCAGCAGGACTGGAGTTGTGTCAGAGCCACATTCTGAAGCTCTGGCACTCAACAAAGCAGGACTGGGAGGAGGCTTGGATTGGGATTAAGTATGGCTTTTGTAACCAGAATGTAAGAAATAATCCACTCAGCCCACCCTGGAGTATCTAAAAATCTGCAAGGTATAAAATATGCAAAGTTGCAGAAAATCTGAGATGTTTCAGGGGCTGCTGAAGGCTCGGTCTGTGCCTTTAATCTGCAACACAGGCAGGGAGTTTTGCTGACTTCCTGTGCAAAGCCAGTGCCATGAGAAATCAGAAAGGCAGGGATTCCTTTTCTAGAGTATCAATTTCAGACCATTAAAGCACAACATCTACTTAAATCCCTGAGGAACAAAACCTCAGAACTTCACGAGTCCCCTGTGATTTCTGAGGTGGCATTCCCAGTATCCTCCTCAAAGCAAACATAGGCTGCTCCTCTGGAGAGGTATTTGATTCCCTCAATCTCCCCCCCACCATTGCTTGGCTTTTGGAAGTGAATTTCAATCATGTCCTGCACACTTTCTTCATCCTCTTCCACCTCTGGGATTCCTTTCAGCAGAATGGTTTTCTTGGAAACCCTGCAGTGTGGCTGGGGAGGAAAGAACAAACCTGGATTATACAGCAGCTCTGCACTCAAAGGAACTGGGAGAGATGGGAACTGAATTCCTCACTCAGGTGTGGCTGGGATCTCTGATGAGCTTTAGATAGTGGAAATTTCTCTGGAAAGAGCAGGAATTCTGGATTCACACTACAATGAAGGGTCTGGAGGGACTTTGGAGGAGCAGCTGAGGGCACTTGGTTTGCTGGAGGAGAGTGAGGGGAGACTCATCCCAGTCTGGAGCTTCCTCCTGAGGGACAGCACTGAGCTCTGCCCTCTGGGAACAGAGGAAAAACAGCTGGAGCTGGGTCAGGGCAGATTTAGGTTGGATTTCGGGGAAAGTTTCTTTTCCCAGAGGGTGCTGGCACTGCCCAGGCTCCCCAGGGAATAGGCACATTCCCAAGGCTGCCAGAGCTCCAGGAGGGTTTGGACACGGCTCCCAGGGATGCTCAGGGTGGGATTTTGGGGTGTCTGTGCATGGCCAGGAGCTGGATCCATGATCCTGTGGGTCCCTCCCAGCTCAGGAGATTCTGTGGTTCCATGATTCTGAGCCCACACCTTAACTGGTGTGTCCTGCACTCCTTAATGCAGCCACACTCTGGATTTGGGGCTCTCTGATGGCTCCTGACAGCACCACCCCATAAAATCCCTGCCAGGACATGCCCCATCCCAGCTGTGTGTCCTGCACACTGCAGCCCATGCCTTAATTACAAAGGCCTAATTATAGGCACAGTTCTGACCTGATCACCATTACTCCAAAAGCAGCAGACAGCTGGAGGCAGAGTGTGATGAGGCAGCTCTGTGTGCCAGAGTCACAATTTGGGCTGAATGGAGGAGTGAAATCAAGGAATGGATGAGCAAATGTTGCATTTGCTGGGACTCTGGGATCCTGGCAGAGCTTTGTGCTTAACCTCCTTCCCAAAGAGCCCAGCACAGCCACGTGGGGAGTGCTGAGATAATTCCATCAAGGAAAGACAAGCACACCTTTTAAAAATAAATTGCAGCTTCACGTGAGCTCAACAGCCTATTTCACACCCACACTGCTGTGAAGTTCACACAAAAGGAGTGAAAACTCTGCCCAGCCTCCTATTTCCCACTTATCTGTTCTATCAGCCTGGAGTAGATTCTTTTACCTGAAACTTCCTCAAGTGGAAATCAAAATGTGGGGAGACAGAAATGATGAACCACCTTTCCTCTGCACAGAAAGGGTATTTAGTACATCCCACAAAGTTGTAGCTTGCTGTAAGAGAATAAGGAAAAAAAACCCCAGTTAATTATTTAAATTAATTTAACCAGTATTTTATAAACATTTCAAAGACCAGGCTCATCTTTGTGGATGCAGAAATTAATGTAGGATGGCACACTTGTAAATCTGCAAAAAGTTCATTTGGCACTTCCAAAACAAAAAGCAAAATCATGAAATGCCCACAAAGCTCTGAAATAAACCTAAAGCAGCTGCTCCAGGTGGATGTGGCTCCACTGATCATGGAATTCCATCCAGCTGGGCAATAGGAATGCCTGTCCAACTGCACTGTCCTGCAGCAGGAGCTAAAGTCAAACATCTTCCCCATTTGCTGATTGCAGTATGAGTGTCTGGCAATGCAAAGGAAGAAAAAAAAAACAGTGCTTTTTGGAAAAGTTGTGAAAGAAAGCTCATGAACTGTGAGCAGGTTGTGTTTGCTCCAAAAGGATGTGATGACAAACTGCTTTATTTCATGGATCTCTGAGGGATCCACGAGCTCCCTGTGGGAAGAGTTTGCAACACTCAGAGGTGACCTCAGAATGGAACCCAGGATGGACAACTGGGCCTGAATTTGGGTAAGAAAATATTCCAGGCTCTACCTCCAGGTGTGAGGAATGTGATGACAGCTGTCCCAGACCCCTTGTTGTAGGTCACATTTTCTATTTCTCCTCCTCCTTCTGCCTGCTCAGTTTTGTAGAAATGCAGCTCAAGTTTGTCTCTCATCCAATCTTCAGGAATGGGAAGCTCAGGTATGTCTGAAACGTTGATCTTCCTTCCAGAGACAGTGACATGGAGCTAAAAATATCAAATTTTTGTGCACTTTGTGACTGAAAACACTGAAAAAAAAGAACCTAAAGCTTTTAAAGAGCTCAGATTTTGAGAGTTGCGTATTTCAGTTGTTTACCTCAAACTGGAACCCCATGTCAAGTTCAAAAGGCTTCACTGTCACATTTGCTGTTCTGTTGTCC